GCCTACATTCCCACTGCCAGAAGGTCTGGGAAACAGGGAGAACCCTAACAGAGATATGCATAGTACCCTGGAGAAGGGGAATGGGACAGGATCTCCTGAGTGGATTGGGAGCATGGGGGAGGGGAGAGGGAGCTGGTCGAAAGAGATGGGGAGAAGAGAAGGGAAGAGGAGGACATGGAGGAGCAGGAAGGTTGAGTGGCAGAAGAATAGAGGAAGGCCGGATACCATAATAGAGGGAGCCATTATAGGTTTGAGAAGTTATTTGGCACTAGTGAGATTTCCAGAGATCTACAACGATGACACCAATGCCCTTCCAAGATAATGAGATTGATGACTACCTTATATGCCATCCTAGAGTCTTCATCCAGTGGCTGAAGGAAGCAGAAGCAGACACCCACAGCTAAACACTGAACTGAATCCCTGGAACCCAGTTGCAGAGAGGGAGGAGTGATGAGCCAAGGAGTCAAGACTCGGCTGGTGAAATCCACAGAAACAGCTGGACCCCAGACTGATAGCTGAGAGGCCAGCATGGAACTGATCGAGTTTGGGTGTCAGTGAGGCAGCCTCGGCAATCTATGGGGTCTCAGGTAGTAGATCAGTATTTATCCCTGACATAGGAATGGACTTGGGAGCCCATTCCACATGGAGGAATGCTCTCTCAGTCTGGACACATGGAGAGGGCCTAGGCCCTACCCTGGATGATATGACAGACTTTGGAGATCCCCCATGGAGGGTCTCACCCTCCCTGGGGAGCAGTGTGGGGATTAGGTGAGGGGTTGGGGGGATAGGGGCAGGAGAGGAGAGGAGAAAGAGAGAGCTAGGATTGACATGTGAAGCATGCTTGTTTCTAATTTAAATAAATAAATTCCACATACTTACACACAAAATAACATACAGTCCACTTTAGCCAATTATTTTATGACCTGAACTTGGAACCTAAACTATCCTGTGAATACTTTACCAAGTATTAATCACCTGTAAGGGCCAGTTGTGCTGATTTACTACTTTAGTCCCATCACTCTGGAGCCAGAGGTAGGCAGATATGTGATTTTATGGCCATTCTAGTGTAGAGAGTGAGTTCTAGGACATATAGGGATACACAGAGAAACTACTCTTTGAAAGGACCTGGGTTCAATCCCAGCACCCACAGCGAACCTCACAACTATTTGTAACTCTAGATCTGGGTAGGAGACACCCTTGTACAGATATACACATGCACAAATCACAAGAGAAGATAAAAATGAATAATGAAAACATAAAAAAATTCGTAAGGAACCCAATAAAATTCATGGTTCACAAAATGGACTTTGGAGCCGGGAGTTGGTGGCGCACGCCTTTAATCCCAGCACTCAGGAGGCAAAGGCAGGCAGATCTCTGTGAGTTCGAGGCCAGCCTGGTCTACCGAGCGAGTTCCAGGACAGCCTCCAAAACAATACAGAGAAACCCTGTCTCAAAAAACCAAAAACAAACAAACAAACAAAAAAAAAAAAACAAAATGGACTTTGGGGTATCTGTTCTTTTTCTCTGTCACTGTTTCCATGTCTGGGGTGAATAGGTGTCTGTGAGTTGAATCTCTACAGGAAGTTTTGTCTGAAAGTGGTGTAATATTTAGAATACACAACAAAAATTTTTATTATACTTCAAGAACAAGCCTCCCTAGCAGGGCCTGGTGACACCCAGTTTTAATGCTAGTACTGTGGAGGAAAAGGTAGGTGGCTCTCCAAGTTCTGAGGCATCCTGGTCTAACTAAATAGTTCCAGGAAAGCCAAGAATACAAAAGAAGGAGGAGGAGGAGGAGGAGGAGGAGGAGGAGGAGAAGCCTGTTTTACAAATTAAAAAAATAAGATGAATAAAAGATATAAATTAAGATTTTGGTTTTGAAAAATATGTAGTATAGAACTAAAGAGAAATTTTCAAAAGATAGAACACAAAAGCCTGAGCAACTATTTTGAATAATGTTAACCAGACTACTGACTCCTTTAATCCCAGAAGTCCAGAGGCAAAGAAAGGAGGACTGGCCCATCTCCTGTCCCCCACCCATCCCGAACTGCCCAGCCCAGCTTCCCTTCCCCTAGTTCTCTGATTCCTATATAACCCAGCCATTTTGGCTACATTGTCTTTTTTTTTTAACCTCTTGGATGCTGTTCTTAGCTCCGGACTCTCCCCTCTCCTCTCCCCCCTGTCCTCACACGGCCCCACTCAGTTTTCCAGTCATGTTCACTCTGGACTCCTCCCAATGTCTCTGGCTGTGCTCTCCCTCATATCTATAATGAAAACCTCAACCCCTTGGGAGCAGTTGTGTCTCTGAGCATTGGAGTCTATGAAATGGCTTGGTAACTGGTACACAAAGAGGTTCATGTAAGGTCTATGGAAGGCCCTTTATAAGGCTGAAGGCTGCCTTAGATAGGGCATGGGTAAGAAGAGAGGAGGAAGGAATCCAAGAGTGTACCAAGCTGGCTATCTATCCCTAGTAAGAATAGAATTTCATCCTTCGTGGTGGGGATTGTGAGTGACAGGATTAAGTATTTTCTATCCAGGGTAATGGCTTATAAATTGGAGCAATGGCTAATTCCAGATAAATAACCCCAGGAGTGAACAGCTGGACCTTAGAAGGAGAGACCCTATATCCCCAGATGGACAGAAGTCCCAGAACCCTTGGAGTAGAATTGTCCAAGTGAGTTGGGTAGAGATGTGAGTGTCCCAGTCAGTTCAAGTAAAAGCAAAGCTATTTTGTGACCCAAGGACAATGTGACAGGCCCCTCACACGAACCTCTTCTTATACCTGCTACCAAGCCATTCCATGAGCTCCAGTGATTACAACGTCCTCCTTTTGTTTCTTTTTTTTCCCCCCATTCATCTTGAATTTGCAGTCTTCCTGCCTCAGACTCCAGAAGCTGGAGTTTGTGCCATGAGGTCTGGCTCAAACACAAAGATGCTAGAAGAACCCAGGATTATCTTTTTGGTCTTGAAGGCCTTGGCGCCATTTCCAGTTTGCAAAACAAAGCCTAACAGCAATATGAACCAAAGGAACAACACAGTCAATGGCTACAAGGGGCAGTGGGGAGAAGAGCGGAGGAAGGGAGAAAGCGAGAACTCCGAGGAGTCTGAGCAACCTTTCCACTGGCAGAGTGTGCCGCGCCTTTAGAGGGCGCTTTTACTGAGTGCCCCGATGAATGCCCACACCCTCCGCTGGGGAGTGTGTACGTACCTACTGTAGGCATTTCAGTCGGATTGGGTGGGACAGGTATCCTGGAGCTCGGGAGTCACAGAATACTGAGTGTTACACAGCTCAGATGGAAAGGTATCCTGGAGCTAGGAAGCCAAGGACTACCTCAGGTTGTAGTAAGCGTAGCTGCTTACAGCCCTGCCTCAGGGAAGGGCTTCCCCAGTGTATCGGCTCTGCTCTGGCAGGACAGGGTCTTCCAGCTGGGGATGTTTGCCCAGAGTAGCAGTTTTGCTCTGGCAGGAGGTTTCCCGGCAAAGTTGCTACAGTTCACCTCTACTCCATGGAGAGCGGAGAGCTGGAGCAGAGTGTAACAATTCCTCTCTGCCAGGATAATGTTTCCCCGGCAAACGTGTTATAGCCCTGCTCGCTCTGCTCTGCCCAGGGTCGCCTCTGCTCCACCGTAAAAGAAGGTCTTCACCCAAAGCTCAGCCTCTGCTCCACCGTAAAAGAAGGTCTTCACCCAAAGCTCATCAGGAGGTTTATTGGAGGGAAGAATCCAGGAGAATAGCTGCCCTCTGCCAGAGTGGCAATGAAAGACCCCGGCCCAGTATAAAATTCCGTTTCCCCCACAGCTCAGCTGAATAGTCATTTTTTATCAGAAGGGAGCTCAGCTCAAGGTCCTAATGGCTGAATGGCTGAATAGTCACTACTATCAGAAGGGAACTCTGCCCAGGGACACAGGTGTCTGCTGTCTGCATAGCCAGCCCAGCAAGATTGGGCAAGCACAGAAACCTATTGTTCCTCAAATAGGGCCAAGGCCGAGACTTGAGTTCCAAGCAAAACCTCAATTGCCCTCGTTCTGAGCCCCAGCCTCATTTAAATTGCCCAATCAGGGTCCTGTAACTAGGCTTCTCGCTTCTGTACTGCGCTTTTTGCTATAAAAGAATCCCCGAGTCCCCAGCTCGGCGCGCTCAGCCCCCCAAGACTGAGACGCCCGGGTACCCGTGTGTAAATAAAGCCTCTTGCTGTTGCATCCAAGCTCGTGGTCTCGTTGTTCCTTGGGTTCGGGTCTCCCTCCCGGGAAAGTCCCCCCCGTCTGGGGTCTTTCAGCAAAGGACAGCCTGGTAGTGTGAACAGCCACAAGCTGAACAAACACAGGGTTTATATAGGGCTTCCAGGTTGGGGATTGGTCAGATTTTAGTGCTGAGCGCAGATTGGCTAGAGCTCCTGCTTGAGGATTGGTTAGTTTTCTGCAAAGGGTCAGATTTGGCTCTGGTTTCAGGGCCAACGTGTGTTTCTTTCTCTGGTCCTTTTTAGCCTTTTGGCTCTAATTTTAGGGCCAGGGTGCATTTCCTTCACTGACTCAGATTCCAGGGACAAAGCGTGTTCCGTTGGCACTGGTTTCAGGGTCAGGGTGCATTTCTTTGGTTCTGGTTGCAGGGCCAAAGTGTGTTTCTTTGGCTCTGCTCACAGTGTGTTTCTTTTACTGGTCCCTTTTCCCTACACCTACTATGTGCTTATCTCACTTACTGATCATGTGATGATGAAAGCTCGAGTTCTTAGCCCTTGTAGTTCAACCACACAAACCCCAGCCCTGATAGCTGGGCTTGCTCAGTGGGGGGGGGGGAGTTGGGGCAGGGTCCTAGCCCTCCCAGCTGGCCCAAGATCTCATCCAGAGGCCTCCACCCCCTTCGCGACCCCATCATGCTTGCGCACTCCACTGCGGGAGACCCAGTCCCTCCCGGGTTGGACTACATTTCCCACAGATCTCCGCGCGCCGTTCTTCCGGCTGCCTAGCTGCTGGCGGCTGCGGGAGGTGAGTTGATCGCCAGCACTGAGGAAACTGGGGCGGCGCAGATTTGGCTTTCCGTAGGTTTGAGAGACTCGGAGTCGGGGACGCTTAGTGGACACCAGGTGCCGCTCCGCGTCCTCCGTCTTCCCGCTGCAGGTCCCAGAGGCCCCGCATGGCTCTGAGTTAACGTGTGCGAACCCCAGAGAGAAGGTGTCCCCCGAACAGAAAGACCGCAGGGCTGCGGTGGCGGAGCCGCTTTGTCCGCGCTCCCTGTAACGCTGCCCCGGGTGGCCGTCGCCGTCAGGCCTGCCCACGCGGTGGCGGCTCCATCCGCGGCTTCCCTTTTCCAGTGGGTCCTGTGTGTGGAAGCGGTGGGGGTGACTGGTCGCGGGGGTGTGACCCGAGGCCACCGAGCCCCCGCACCTGCCGGGTTCGTCCTTTCTCCGGGTCTCGTTCATCTGCGGGAATGTGAGGGAAGCGATTGCTGTCGCCCACATAGAAACCCAACATTACTGTTGTATGTGTGGAAAAAAAAAAAGAAAAGAAAATAGCCAAGTTCCTTTCTTCCTCTTTTTCCTGTGGATCCTTATTTTTCCGAGCATGGGGACATTTGCCACTCTCCACTGTGAAAGAGTAAAATTCACCTGGGCCTGAAAAGAAGGAGCGGGTTTGGTGTGAATTAGGCCCCGGAGAAGAGACAGATTAGTGCAGATTAATATAAACCATCTCTCAGATTATGCGTGTCTTGTTAAATGCAGGCCCATCCCTTCTTCGTGAGGTTACAGGTTTCTTTTTAAAATTTATATGTCACTTATTTACGTGCATGTGTGTATTTATGCGAGTACAGGTGTGCCCGCGGAGGCCAGAAGAAGGCATCCTATCCCAGCAGCTGGATCCCCCATGCGGGTGCTGGGAATCGAACTTGGATCTTCTGCAAGAGCAGCCAGTGCACTTAACCGCTGCCTCATGTCTCCAGCCTCACAGGTTTCTTTTTAAAATCATTTTTTTAATTTGTTTTCATTTTTATGTGTTTGGGTGTTTTGCCTGCTTTTCCGTCTGTGCACTGGAGTGTGTGTCTGGTGTCTGGGGAGGGTGTCAGATCCCCAGGAACTGGAGTTACAGAACATTTGGGAGCAGCCTTGTGGTTGCTGGGAACCGATCAGTAGCCAGCGCCCTTATCTGTGGATCCATCTCTGCTTTGCAGACTACAGCTTTCTTTTTTTCTTTTTTTCTTTTTGTTTGTTTGTTTGTTTTTTGTTTTTGGTTTTTCAAGAAAGGGTTTCTCTGTGGCTTTGGAGGCTATCCCAGAACTAGCTCTTGTAGACCAGGCTGGTCTCGAACTCACAGAGATCCGCCTGCCTCTGCCTCCCAAGTGCTGGATTAAAGCATACGCTGCCAACGCCCAGCCCGGCCAGGCTACAGCTTTCTTTACCCTTGAGGCTTGCCTTCTTAATTTGTTTTTAATTACTGGGGAAGATGCATTTGCTAAACCACCCTCCTTACCTAAGAGTAACACTTTTGGTTTGTCTTTTTTTTTTTTTTTTTAACTCAATTTGCACCCATACTGACCAGGACTTCACTATGTAACCCATGCTGACCTTTAACTTAAGGGTGATCCTCCTCCTGCCGCAGCCTCCAGGCTGCAACGTGGGCCACTATGCTGAACCAGGGTAGCGTTCGATCTTAAATTAATCTGTCACTTCTCATCTCAGCCACAGCAGCTGTTCCAAACTCCTAAATTACCAGTCCCCTTTGTCTGGTGGCTGGACGTGTACCTCACTGGTAGAGAGCTATTTCAGCTTAGACCTTCATCTCATCCTCATATCCTGATTGCTCCGATGTAATTCCCATCCTCAGTGTGTCAGTGATTTTGTAGCCGAGCCCAGGCTTTTCCCAGCTAGTCTGGAACTTTAACACCCAAAGTGGCCCCTTAACCAGGCGCTTTGGCCTTCTGCCTCAGTGGCTAATGGGGATAGATTCTTCACGCATTCCCCCTTTCCAGGAATGGAGACATGTTAAGTGTGTTACATTTCTCTTGGGAGCTGCCTTTTTCCAATTGTGTTAGGATGGTCTGCGAGTAAACCTGAAGAGAAGCCAGCCAGCTTTAGCCTAGTTTATAGTTTGGAGAGGAAGTCACAGGCTGCCTCCAGCTCTGGCCGCCACCACACTGGGTTCACTGATCTCAGCTGCCCTGAGTTCAAAGCAGGAAAGACAGAAAATGGTTTTCTTGATAAGGGGGTCTTTCACTTTAAGACTTTCCCTCCCCCTCTTTCTAGTGCTCTGGTACTTTCTAGGCTTGTATGCTGGAGGCAAGCACTGTCCCCCTGAGTGATCTCCCAGGAGTCTTCTGCTTGAGGCTCATGAGGAGAGATAAGATAAATGGAGTCTTGGGGAGAGATCTCTGTTAACAGGTTTACAGTTTCCAAAGTGAGCTCATTATAGGCCACTGATTTATGGCTTAGGGGAGGACCGTGGTGACAGCAGTGTGGGTCACGAGGCTAAATTGCCAGGGTTCATGCTGTCATAGTTCCATCTTGTGAAAGAAGAGGCCTACCATAGAGGATTGCCTTGGTAAGTGGCAATCCAGGGGCTGGGGATGCGGTGTAGTGTCGGCCTACCATGTCCACAGCCTGAGATGCCGTTCCCAGTGTGGCAGGGACGCCTCCCCCTCAGGAGCAAGAATGGAAACAACTGTAACCCATAGGTAGTACTCAGCAGTGTACTTAAGGGTTGAGTACTCCTGCTAACTGTTACAACACATTCCAATTTTCCTCATCACCTGCATCTGAAAGGCACGATTAGTTGGCCACATTTACTTTATCTGTCCATGAATTCCTGGTTGTAGATTACTGATAATCAAGAATTGCCTGTCGCCTGGGCAGGGTGGTACAAGTTTTTAAGAATTTATTTTATGTGTGCCATTGTTTTGCCTATAGCAGACACATGACCGGTGCCTAAGGAAGTCCGAACAAAGTGTCAGACCTCCTGGGACTGGAGTTATAGATGTTGTGAGCCAGCATGCGGGTGCTGGGAACTGAACCTGGGCTCCTGCAGGAGCAAGTCCTCTTTTTATATCTGTGTGTGTGTGTGTGTGTGTGTGTGTGTGTGTGTGTGTGTACGGCACGTGTATCTGTGTGTTTATGATGAAGTGTTAGGCCTAACTCAGAATGCTTCAGAAGTGTCTGGGCTCCCACACCATGCCCATCTTGTGCTGTGTTCCCTTGGAGCTTTCTTTTGGAATCTCTGGTCTGGGGTGGGTTTGAGATGGTGTAAATAGAGTGATAAGGAATGATTTGGAAGAAGAGTGACGGGAGGAAAAGCTACTCTTACCAACATAAATTAATTTGGGAACCTTCAGGCACATCTGGATTCATGGATTCTTTTTATTCCAGTTTTGCTTTTCTGAACCCCACAGTTTCCCACAGAGAAACATCGAAGAGCCAACTGACGCCTGCACTTCTAACACCATGGCCCTGGCCCAGGTATGTTCATGATTTTCTCCCTCCCCCCAAGATGTACGACTCTAATGTCTGTCTCCAGAGTGCCGGGACTGCAGTGTGTACAGCACACTTGGCATAAACATACTAGATGATTGTGTGTGTAGTCACGCCTTTTCCGGAACCTTCTGACACCCACACCAGTGCTTATTGTAGAGAGGGCTGGAGACACAGCCCAGAGCTATGCACATGTCCTCCAAGGCTGAGCCTCCCTCTACCTGCACAGTGTTCCTTCCAGAGAGCCCAGGTAAATGCCTGAGGAAAACCCAGACAAACTCTGCACAGTGTTCCTCTAATGTTTTTCCATGGAGCAGCTTTGGGTTTAATAGTTCAAATATTCTTCAATGTGTTATTATAGTGTGTATGTGGGTGTGTGTGCCACGGTGCACATGTGGAGGTTGGAGGACACTGATTTTTTTTTTTTTTTTGAACTTCATATGGGTTCCAGGGATCAAACTCAGCCTTACCTACTGAGCCATCTTCTCAGTCCTGATTTTTAGAAGTTCCAGGGGAAATTTTTTCTCTTAGTTCAGTGATTTTTGTTTTGTTTTTTGAGACAGGGTTTCTCTGTATCCCTGGCTGTCCTGGAACTCGCTCTGTAGACCAGGCTGGCCTTGAACTCAGTTATCCACCTGCCTCTGCCTCCTGAGTGCTGGGATTAAAGGCACGTGTCACTACCACCCAGCTTCTTTTATAGGGAAAACATTTGTATCCCCAGTATACAGTATGACATTTTATTTTATTATCATTTTTTAAAACTGTTCATCTGTACGTCTATGTGCACACATGTATAGAGGCCAGAGACTGACACTGGATGTCTTCCTCAATTTGCCCTAGACGTGGAGTTCATCATATAGCTAGACCAGCTGGCCAGCAAGCCCCAGGAATCTTTCTGTCTCCAATGATGGGCTTGCAGGTGTGTAGTTACAGGCACATGCCTGCCTCTTCCCCACCACCTCACCTCCACTGACAGGGTTTCTCTGTGGCTTTGGAACCTGTCCTGGAACTCCCTCGGTAGACCAAGCTGGTCTCGAACTCACAGCAATCCACCTGCCTCTGTCTCCCGAGTGCTGGCATTAAAGGTGTGTGCCACCACACCTTTTTACATGGCTGCTGGGAATCCAAACCCATGTCCTCATGCTTCTGTGGCAGGTCTTTTACTGACTGAGCCATTTCTCGAATTCCCAAAATGACACCAAATAAAACTGTCTAGTGAGGTTTGTGTGCAAATTAGGAATGTGTAGCTGAGTAAATTTGCATAGTTAAGTATCTGTTTACTTCTAAATGGAGAAAGGAATGTGCTAGCACTTTAGCTGTTCCCTCCAGTCAGCTCCTGTCCAGGTAGCCCAGATGAAGACACAGTTTTCGCTTCAAACACCACAGATTTAATTTTACCTATATTTGACCTGGCTTTTTCTTCTTTTTTTCCTGTCTCTTTTGTTCCCTTTCCCTTCCTCTCCTTTCTCCTCCTCTGTTCTCTTTGACAGGGTCTTACTGTGTAGCCCAAGCTGGCCTTGAACTTGAAATTTTCTTGTGTCCACTTCAGACAAATACACCAACTCTGCTCAGCTTTAATTTTTAACTTTGGGCATTAAATGGAATTATGTAGTTCAATACATTTTTTTATTGTCCGAGGAGAGTTTGATTATCTTTTTTAATTTTAATTTATTTATTTTTATTTTATGTGCATTGGTATTCTGCCATGGGTATTGGGTTCCCTGGAACTGAGATTATAGATAGTTGTGAGCTGCCGTGTGGGTGCTGGGAAGAGCAGTCAATGCTCTTAACCACTGAGCCATCTCTCCAGCCCCGAGTCTGATCATCTTCCAAGTAGAACCGTCATTAATGTGAATGTATGGAGACAACTGACATCAACCCCTGACTTGCTTGTTGTTGTGCCTAAGTTGTAAAGTCCCCAGAGACCACCAGGAAGACAGACCCACCAAACTGCAAATGCAAGGTTTAATGATTGTTCATCTACCCATGACAGGGACCCCGTCTAGCAAACTAACGCAGCAGCCCCCAGAGGGAGTGAAGTTCCCTGTCTACTGCTAGGTTTTAAAGACAAAAGTCACAAGATTACATCAGTAGGTACAGGTTGGTTTCTGATTGGTTGGCATTTGGGAACAATCAGGAGCATTTCTCAAAGTCACATTTTGGTGTGAAATACCTGTGTTCCAATTATTTTCATTGGCCAGTGCTGAGAAGGAACATTCTGTGGTTTCTATGGCATTGTCTTGTTACTTGCCGGGTTACCTACACACCTCCTAGTCTTAGACCTCCCTAGTAGCCCACAGGATATTCATGAGAGCCATTCACGTTTTCCTGTGGGAAGCAGAGAATACCTGATCATCTTTCAAAACCATTCCCTTGTTCTCTCCCCTCCTGGAGGTGACCTTTTATGATATGGTATGTCTTCTCTCAGCTGTGAGTATATTAATACCGACAAATTGCTGTTGGTCTTGGCTGTACTGTGTCAGCCATGATTTCAGGGTGGAAGAGTGCTCCTTCAGCACTACAGTGAAGAGAGTGATAAGAACAGGAATGCACACTGAAGGACCAAGACCCATCTCTGTGTTGGACCTGGTGGGCATCCCTACCATCCTAGTGTTTGGAAAATTGAAGAGGCCAGCCTGGGTTCCATAGTGAGACCCTATCTTAGAAAGAAAAGAATTGATTGTAACAAGGAGCATATTTCAAATAGAACCTGACTTTGTAATGAACTTGAATCAATCTGTCTTGGATATTTTGTAGTTTATTTGGGATTACTTTTTTTTTCTTTTTGGAGAAAATTTTGCCACTATGTTTTTGTGATCAATGAAGTTTAATGTCATTATTTCTGTAGAATTTATAATGGGATCACGTAGTATGCTATACAGTTGGGTTTATTTGTGGGGTTTGTTGTATTTGTTTCCAGAATGTACCAACATTTTCATATCTCTCTCTCTCTCCCTCCCTCCCTCCCTTCCTCCCTCTCTCTCTCTTTCTCTCTCTCTCTCAATGCAAATGCAACAAACATTTATTTATTTTAGTTGGGTAGTAGTGGCACATGTCTTTAATCCCAGCACTCTGGAGGTAAAGGCAGGTGATCTCTGTGAGTTCGAGGTCAGCCTGGTCTACAGAGTGAGTTTCAGGACAGCCAGGACTACACAGAGAAACCCTCAGAAAAACAACAACAAAACATTATTTTAAAACCTTAATTGTGTGTGCATGTGCAGGAGTCCATAGGAAGTGTCACCCTCTGCTTCTGAGACACTGATTTCTCCGCTCCTGTCGAAGTGTCCAGGCCCATGCAGTTTGAGTACTGTGTGCTCCCCACTTTCAGTACGGTCCTCCTCCAGTCCCCACTCCCCTGAGAAAGGAGATCTCTCATACACTACCCCGAGTTTGTTTTTCTCAGGGTTTAGTGACGTTCAGGGATGTGGCTGTAGATTTCTCACAGGAAGAGTGGGACTTCCTGGACTCTGCCCAGAAGAGCCTGTACAGGGACGTGATGCGGGAGAACTACAGCCACTTCGTCTCGCTGGGTGAGTGCATCCGTCCCGGAGTCAGCCTTCCCTGATGTAGAAATAGCTTGCGCTTGTACTTCCTGTTTAGTAGATTGGAAGTAGGTCCTTCCATGTAACATCTAATCATTCCTGGCCTGGAGCGCCCTTCTCATTGTCTCTGACTGTGACCTCTGGCTTTCTTTGTGTCCAGGTTCCCCTGGTATCTAAACTGGATATGGCAGAGGTATTTTCTAAGAAAGCAGATTGGGTACCGCATTTGAGCCCAGAATCCATGTAGACACTCGCTGCTCCTCTCTAGTTTCAAAGGCAATGTGTGTGGGCTGGAGACAGACTTAAAACTTGGGGAACACACTCTGTTCTGGGTAACAGACCTCTAAAGTTCTACCTGTTTTACATGTGAAAGTTAAAATCTGGGTTGGGGCAGTAGCTCAGTGGTCCTTGCCTAGGGTGTGTGAGGCCCTGAGTTTAATCCCAGCACACGCACGCACGCACACACATGCACACATATTACTGAGGTGGCCTCGGAAACAGGCAGGATGTGAGGCAGCCTGGCCAGAGCTATAGTTATTACACAGTGTGGTCTCTCTGCAGAGCCAGGCTAAATTACATGGAGTGTGTCCCTAGTCATCTGGCATTTATTCCTTGTGGGCTCTAGGTTTCCCTAAAATGGTTATTCTGTAGCTTGTCACATGAATTTAATGCTTTGGTTTATAAAGTGCCATTTTGGAGACAGGCATGGTGGTGAGCCTGTACTTGAGGCCGAGACAGGAAGACTTTAATGCTGGGCTGGACTGTGTAGTGAGCTCCAGGCTGGTTGGGCTTTGGTGAGACCCTGTCTCAAAACTTTCAACTAAACATTTAATGAAGTCTGAAAGTACGGGTTTTCAGGTTTATAATTGGTCTGGCATTTTCCTATTAAGCAGGACCTTCCATTTCTAAGAGAGATGCGATTACCTTGCTGGATGAAGGCGGGAAGGAGCCTGAGATAATTGTGAGAGAAGGGAGAAGATACTGTCCTGGTGAGTGAGGGTGAGCTGCCTGGGGGCTGAGGCTCCAGCTGGTTGCTCAGCTCAGTGAGGGGGGTCCTTGCTGAGAGACGGATTGTTGGGGATCTTTCTTTCACAGCCTTGGCCTCAAGGGAAACTTGAGACCTGAAGCAAAAAAAAAAATTTGTGTATGTGAAAGGGCCATAGGAGATGGGCCCGTAAGCTGTGGCACGCACAGAGCTCAGAGGACCGCTTCGTGGAGTTGGCTTCTCTCCTGGGATCCAGCTGAGGTCAGCAGGCTTATGCGGCCAGAGCCATTCACGATGAACCTTTCCCTGGTCCAAATGCTCATCTTAGGTGTTTGTTTGTTTGTTTTTGAGACAGGGTTTCTCTGTGTAGCTTTGCAGCCTATGCTGGAACTTGCTCTGTAGACCAGGCTGGCCTCAAACTCACAGAGATCCGCCTGCCTCTGCCTCCCGAGTGCTGGGATTAACCTGGCTGGGACAAAGGTATGCACCATCACCCAGCTGCAAAATTGCTTTCTGTTGAACTTGGTTACTTTGTTTCTCAACCTCCATATTGCCTTCCTGCTTTGAAGGAAGCTGTTATCTGCAGAAGGGGGAAAATGATAATAAATACAGGAACAGAACTCAGAAAAATAAAACAGGAAAGGAGATTGATAAAGCCAAAATTGAAATAAATGTGATTGAGAATGTAAGGAAAGTTAGTGAACACCTAGTTGAACTAATTGAGAAAAAGAACATAAAGTACTACCACAAATGAAAGAAGGGATTTCCTCTCTGTGAAAAAAAAACACAAATAACTTTGCACCAGGAAATTGGACAGCTTATATGATGTGGAAAAATTCCTTGAAAAAATGCAAGATTATTAAAAAATTAACTCAAGTCTATTAAAGTATGGAATTCTCGGGTGAAGTTGCTACAGTTCAGCTATGCTCCTGGAGAGCGGAGAGCAGGGAGCCGGGAGCAGAGTGTAACAACTCTGCTCTGCCAAGGAAGGTTTCCCGGGCAAGTGTTACAGCGCTGCTCGCTCTGCTCTGCTCTGCTCTGCCCAGGGTTGCCTCTGTTCTGTCGCCGCCGCAAAAGAAGATCTTCACCCGAAGCTCATCCAAAGGGGTTTATTGGAAGGCAGCTGGACCAGCCAAGCTGAACATACACAGGGTTTATATAGGGATTCCTGGGGTTGGGGAAGTTTTTCCAGAGTAGGGATTGGTCCGATTTCAGTGCTGAGCTCAGATTAGCTAGAGCTCTGCTCCGGGATTGGTTACTTTTTTACACAGGATTAGGGTCAGATTTGGCTCTGGTTTCAGGGCCAAAGTGTGTTTCTTTCTCTGGTCCTTTTTAGCCTTTTGGCTCCAATTTTAGGGCCAGGGTACATTTCTTTCACTGACTCTGATTCCAGGGACAAAGTGTGTTCCTTTGGCACTGGTTTTAGGGTCAGGGTACATTTCTTTGGTTGTGGTTGCAGGGCCAAAGTGTGTTTCTTTGGCTCTGCTCACAGTGTGTTTCTTTGACTGGTCCCTTTTCCACAGGGAAGAAATAGCATTATTATATAAATTTCTCCAGAAAATAAAGGTATATCTCTTAGCCTAATTTATACGCCCTATGTAACTCACATGTCATACTTGATATTTACTGGAAAAGAAATTGTAAACCAACCCTTATTATTTGTGTATGCAGGTATAAATTTCTTAATACAACACTAGTAAGTCAAACTCACAAAATATTTAAAAATGATGATTGAGTGGGCTTCATTCCTGCTTAATTATGGAAGCTCAGTTTTTAACATTGAGACACCGATAGTATCATTTCACCATACTCAACAAAAAAAGAGGCTATAAGGTTAACTAACTCTATTAATGTAAAATACCACATGACAAAACTCAACCTCCATTCCTGATCTAAACAAACAAACCTGTTAGTGAGCAGGACATGGTGGTGCAGCCCTGAAATCTTAACACTCGAGAGGATGCAGGCATGACCTCTTACTCAGACAGGCGGCATTTCCTCTCCCTTAAGGGTGGCCTGCCTGTCTTAAGCCTTTTTTTAATTATTTGTGTGTGTGTGTGTGTTGGGGAGAGAATGTTCCTGTGTGAGGATGTACATGTGTGTTCACATACGTGTGTGTGTGTGCACACGCACGCGCATAGAGCAGAGGTCTATGTGGGGTACCTCCTCAGTGCTTCTTGACTTTAGTTTTTGAGACACAGTCTTAAACCTGGCACTCACTCTGCTAGACTGTGAGTTCCTGTGTCTCAGCCTGCCTGGTGCTGGGATTACACATGCCCACTGGCACCCCTGGCTTTTTACATGGGTGCTGGGGATGTAGGCTCAGGTGTGCATGTTTCAGAACAAGCACTTTACTGACTGAGTTTTCACCTCATCATCTCCTTCCCTTCTTTCTTCCTTCTTCCCCCCTCCCTCCCCGAGATGTCACATGTATCCCAAGCTAGACTTAAACTTACCGTGTATCCAAGGATGGCCTTGAACTCTTGTTTCCACCTCAGTGCTGGGATTGAGTAGTCAAGCACTGCCCCATCCAGTTTGATCTTTCCTTTTCCATCTTTTCTTTTTGAGAGGGGATCCTAAGTTGCTCAGGCTGACTTCTAACTCTCAGGGTCAAGTAATCTTTCTCCCTTAGCCTCTCTGGAAGTTGGGATTGTAAACACACGTTACACTCTCCAGTGGAAGGTTTTTTGTTTTGTTTTGTTTCTTAGCTTCTTTTTTAGATGCTCTTACTTTGTAGCTTAAGCTGTCCTAAGACTCTGTGTAGCCCAGGCTGAACTTAGACGCGCAGCATCCTCCTGCATTTGCGTCCTGAGTGCTGCCTGGGATTTCGGATGTGGGCCTTCTTGGCCTTATTTTCAGAGGTGCTGTCTCAGCACCTGAAACAGGATTCCTGCTTAATTTGTATGCAATTCAATATTCATGAAGTGGCTTTGGCCACACTGAGTACCTTTACCCCTTGATAAAACAACTATAGTGTTGTTAGTATTTTATTGATAGAATTGTACACGATTGTGTGTTAACACCAGCTGTTTTTCCCATGAATTTTTGGTTCAGGATTTTGTATAAGTTGTAGGTTTTGGGGGTGTACCTGGGCCGTGTTTTGGTTTTTTGTTTTTTGTTTTTTGTTTTTTTCCGAAATACCTGTTTACAGGAAGTATAGTAGGTCCTTTTATTTGTCTATAGAAGTTTTCTTCCTTCTGGAATGGGAATGTAATATGTTTCTTTATTGTTTTCTTTCAGATTTGGAGTCCAGATTTAAGACCAATACTTCACCAGCAGACAAGGATATTTATGAATTATATTCATTACAATGGGACTTGATGGAGAAAATTAAAAGCTGCAGCCCTCAAGGTTCTTGTCTTAAAGATGATTGGGAATACCAAAGCGAGATTGAGCGACAAAAGGAACCACAGAAAGGTTATTTGGGGCAGCTGAAAATTACCTCTGAAAAAGGCACATACAAAAAGCACAGTTTCCTTACTGAGTATCAGAAAGTTCAGAATGGAGAAAAGTTCTATGAATGTAAAGAGTGTAGGAAGACCTTTATCCGCCGCTCAACTCTTAGTCAACACTTGAGAATCCATACTGGTGAGAAACCTTACAAATGCAAGGAATGTGGGCAGCCCTTCAGACAGCGCGCACACCTTATCCGACACTACAAACTTCACACTGGGGAGAAGCCCTATGCGTGTAAGGAATGTGGGAAGGCCTTTACAGTGCTCCAAGAACTCACCCAACATCAGCGACTGCATACTGGTGAAAAGCCGTATGAATGCAAGGAGTGTGGAAAGGCCTTTCGGGTACATCAGCAGCTGGCTCGGCATCAGAGGATTCACACTGGGGAGAAACCCTATGAGTGCAAGGACTGTGGGAAGACCTTCAGACAGTGTACACACCTCACCCGACACCAGAGACTTCACACTTCTGAGAAGCTGTACGAATGTAAGGAGTGCGGGAAAGCCTTCGTGTGTGGCCCAGACCTTCGAGTACATCAGAAAATCCACTTCGGTGAGAAGCCCTATGCATGTAAGGACTGTGGCAAGGCCTTCAGGATATGCCAACAGCTGACCGTCCACCAGAGTATCCATACTGGGGAGAAACCCTATGATTGTAAGGAATGTGGGAAGGCCTTCCGATTGAGGCAACAGCTTGTTCGCCACCAGAGAATCCACACCCGTGAGAAACCCTATGAATGTGTAGACTGTTGGAAGACCTTCAGTAGTTACTCCCAGCTGATTTCCCATCAGAGTATTCATGTTGGTGAGAGACCCTTTGAGTGCGAAGAATGTGGGAAAGCCTTCAGACTGCTCTCCCAGCTCACTCAGCACCAGAGCGTCCACACGGGGGAGAAACCTTACGAATGCAAGGAGTGTAGGAAACCTTTCCGACTGCTCTCCCAGCTCACTCAGCACCAGAGCATCCACACGGGGGAGAAGCCTTACGAATGCAAGGACTGCGGGAAGGCATTTAGACTTTACTCATTTCTTTCTCAGCATCAGCGGATCCACACTGGTGAGAAACCCTACAAATGTAAGGAATGTAAGAAGGCCTTCCGACAGCACTCACACCTCACCCAGCATCAGAAGATCCACAGCGGAACCTAGGCAAAACCTGTTCTGTGTTACATTTGCAAAATGTCAGGAAATTCAGTTGTGAGAGTAATTTATTTCATGCTTATTCATAAGCAAAGAAAGACTGTGTTGCTTTAAAAGCCCTCCATTCTCACCTAAGTGTTACCTATCTTCAGCAAATTCCTGTGAAAGAGTAATTTGATGAATGTAGGAAAATCTTTAGTCTTATCTGTTATCATCTCCATTTAACTACACTATTAATGCCTTGTTTTTCTCACTGTCAAAATAGTGTCCCTGTCAAAATACACGCTGTATTTATTATTGTGTAACAAATTACTAGAAAAACAGTACTTTAAATAATATATATTTATTATCTAAAAATTTCTATAGATGGAAAGTCCAGGCAAGCCATAGTTGGGTCTTTGAGGTTTCAGATAAGACTGGGCTTTCATCTGAAGGCTTAACTAGAGCAGGATCCACATTGCAGGTAACAGGCTAGATAGCTCAAACATCTGAATTCTTTGAGAGCTGATACAGTGAAATCTTCAGTTTCTGGATGGCCATTGGCTGAGAGATGAGTGCAGTTCCTGGCCACATTGACCATCTAATGTGGCTGCTGGTTATGTTTTTGTTGTGTTTGTTTGTTTTGAGATAGGGTTTCTGTGTGTAGCTCTTGCTGTCCTAGAGCGGTCCTGGCCTCAAACTCACAGAAATCCACCTGTCTCTGCCCCCGAATGCTGGGATTAAAGGTGTGCACCACCCAGCGTAGCTGCTTTTTAATGAGATTGTGGGATCTAAGAAAGTTGACCGCTAGCAGGATGGAGGTCAGCTAGCAAGACTGAAGTTATAATCCGTGTAATCTAATCATAAAAGAAACATCAAATCATTCTATCGCTTTCTACTGGTTAAAAGTAAGTTCTCAGACGCAAGAAGATTGCATGAAATTGAATACTACAAGATGGGACCAGTGATAACCAGGTCAGAGCCCACCTGCTGTACTGTCTAAAAGAATCGATTTAAGAACAGAGTAGTTAACACTTGACAGACTAGCAGTCATGGTAGCATGTATCCTATAAATAATGTCTATGATTGTCATCAGCATTGTCAGTTCATATAAAAGGAAGATGCTCCTGTGGAAGTAATAAATGTAGAAATGCTTCCTTCACATCTCTGCATTTATAAACCTCAAAGTACTTTCTTCTAGGTGCGATTTAGCAGCTTATAGTAATTGGGAGATTTTTGTTACTTGAGCTGCACCAAAAACTTATGATGAAAAAAAGACTGAATTTCATGAATGTGGGGTTTGTAAAACTTAAGCATCAGAGGAAATGACTTCTTCAAGTTGAAAAAAAGCAGAACATTTAGAATCTTTTCTCTGACCAAATTCAGGTGAATCACACAATCTCAAGGATAGCCTAAAAGACAGCTAGCCAGTTACAGATTTCATTTACACTAATACACATATGTAAATGCTGGAGTCAGGGAACTGGGTTAGTGGTTAAAGTGCATGCTGGGTGGATCCCCAGAAGCCATGTTAAATGCCAGGCAGGTGTGGTGGCTCACCTGTAATTCCAACGTCTCGAGATAAGAGACTGGATGTCCAAAGCAAGCTGACAAGCAAGACCCTATAAGTCACACTGATGAGCTCTGGGTTGGATTAAGAGATCCTGCCCCAGTGCATACAGTAGAAGAGCGATTGAAGATGGCTCCTCAGATAACCTAGGACTTCCACATGCAAACACATACAAACATAAATACATACAGCTGCCTATCTCATACACACAGATATAAGAGCATTTCACAGTTAGACATGACTCTGTTAGTACTTTGGTAATTATCATGGCCATGGCTCCACAATCTAGTCAGCAATAGATGATGGTAGGATACCAACTTATTTATAAACTTATTTATTTATATTTTGAGACAGTCTTACCATGTTGCCCTGGCTGACCTGAACTCTGTGTAGACCAGGCTGGCCCAGACAGAACTCAGAGAGATCTGTCTGCTTCTACCTCCAAGTACTAAGACGAAACATGCCACCATGCCTGCCCAACGTCATCTTAAACTAGCAGATGAAAGCAAAATGAACATTTTTTTTCTTACATGTGAACCACTTGAAAAAGTGTCAACAAGTGTTTTTGTTTTTTTTCCTGAGCAAGTTTAATCAGGAAATGCAGAAAAAAAAGAAATAGAATGGCGTGGAGGGGGGTCACCATTTTCTAGACACTAGAGGAATAATGGGTCCCAAAAATAATCCTCAGTAAATACTAGAGGTTTTTTTTATTTTTTTTATTTTTTGGTTTTCTGAGACAGGGTTTCTCTGTATTGTTTTGGAGGCTGTCCTGAACTCTGTAGACCAGGCTGGCCTCAAACTCACAGAGATCTGCCTGCCTCTGCTTCCCGGGTGCTGGAGTTAAAGGCGTGCGCCACAAATACTAGAGGTTTTATGTGAAAGATTTTGTGACCACTTCTGAACCCTTGATCAATTTTAACCTCAATAAAAAAATGTGACTGTCATACAGTAGCCACATCCTGATAGCGTGCGGCAGGACTGCCAAGATAACAAAGTAGTTCATTTTTCAAATTCTTTAAAACCAAGAGCTCCAGGAATGGACGTGCAGAGTAGACTCAGCACAACGAAGCATCTGGTTTGACCAAAGTTTATAAAGTTCTGTAGAAAACTCACCTGATTTCCACAGCTGTGTGTGGCATGTGTTATTATGAGACACCATAATAACACAGCTGAATTAAGTACGGGGGTGTTACTTTGAAATAGTTGAAGAGAAATGTAAGAGCCGTTTGGCGACAGGAGGAAGTGTCAAGGGGCTTACGAATGTGTTAGAGATCAGTCTGAAACAAGATACACCAGTGTGCATCGCTGGAGAGCCGGGAATGGTGGTGCACACATGTAATTCAGAGACAGTCTAGATTCAGGGGACTAAGGCAGGGGGATTGCTAGTTCAGGGCTAGTCTGGGCCGCATAACAGGGCTAAGTCTAAAATGAAAGGGAAAACAAATCCAGCAAAAGAAAGGGAGTTGGCAAAACCAGGCCCAGTGCTGCACAGCTTTAATCCCAGCACTCTGGAGGCAGAGGCAGGCAGATGGATGGGTTTGAGGCCAGCCTGGTCTACAGAGTGAGTTCCGGGTCAGCCAAGTCAACAAAGATAAATCCCTTCTCTAAGAAATGAGAGTTGACAGAGTGGCAAAGCATTGCTAGTGACTGAGTGAGGTTATTCAATCATTGAGGGCCGTTGTCCCGTTTCCACTTTTGTACATGTCTGAAATTCCAGTACTTTAATATCCAGAACCAATTGGAAACTAGCTGGAAATGTTGAGTTGCCTGCATATTTAAACTGGTTAAGTGCCACCAAACTGACGAGGAGGCAAGTGACACCGTTGATGTACCAAGGAAGTTCTGTGTGGTCTTGTCACATGAAATAGGCGTTGACTATCAAGAACTGTGAAATACATGACGCCAGCCAGCAGTAAAGCAAGCCAAAGCTTTAGGAAATAGCCCTTAGCACAATGTTCAAGTGAACGTCGTGTTAAAACAAGCTTAATTAAAAAAACAAATCACTGAGGCCAGCACTCAGACAGCCAATACGGGAGATGTAGGAGTTTAAGGCTAGCCACATAGTATACTATTACTGGCTCGAGAAATAGTAATAGCACTGATGATGAGACAACGGAAACCAGAGAGGTCAGGGTGATGGCTCAGTCAGTAAAGTACCTGCTGCTAACGCATGATGACTTGGGATCCCTGGTAACCATGGAGATACCAGCTGTGGCCTTTTCATCTGTCTATAACCCCAGCACAGGGTGGTGGCAGTATGTGTGGCACTTGGTAAATCGGTCTGGCAATCACTGAAGCACCAAGTCCAGTGAAGACCCTGGGTTCAGTTTCAAAATAATAAGGCGAGCTGGACATGGTGGCACACTTAATTCCAGCACTCCACGGCAGAGGCAGGTGGATCTCTGAATTTGAGATCAGCCTGGTCTATATAAGAAGTTCCAGGCCAGCTGGGACTCCATAATGGGACTCTGCCTCAAAAAAAAAAAAAAAGTAAAAATGAAAGCTGATATTGCTTACACACACAGAGAGAAGAAAAATAGACAAAGACTGCTCCAAAAAAGAGCATCTAGACAAGCTTCATGTCTCAAATCCATGTTCTTCCTAAGTCCAAGTGAAGTGTGTTATAAAACTTACCTCCTAGTACATAAAGCAAGGACGTGAGTTCACGAGACCCAAGGTAAATGATAAAAAGGTGTTTATTAGGGAAGGACTTACACAGATAAGGCCGCCGTGGTCTTCCTGTCCCGGAAGATATAGTCTCTGCTCTTTGCAACCCAAGAGAGGAAGAGCCAGTCCATTCTCTGTCAACATCAGTGGGTCACATCTGCCCTGGCAAGATGCCACTCTACCCACGACCACCCCATTGTATGGGTTTTACTGTAGATACGAGGGAGAGCACAGCCACAAGCATCTGGAAGAGTTCAGATCAGGGAGCGAAATTAGTAGACTAGACACAGTCAATAGACTGGACCAGGCCATGAGAGAGGAGGGGGGAGAGAACGAGAGAGAGCCAAGAGGGCCCATGGTCAAAATGACAGGGTTATAAAGGACTGAGAAGCTAGTGGGAGGGAAACCCAGGACCTGGAGCTTAGGGTAGAAGTCAGAGTGAGAAGAGCTGAGGGGCCAGGATGCCAGCATGCACCCTGTGACAGGTACTTGTGATGCTGAGAACCTGGAGGCCAGCATGTGCTTTGATATGCTAATAGGTATCACAGATAGTTATTTGTCCCCATCTTATTTTGAACCTGACATTTTAGCCTGTTTGCTAATAAGGGCCAAGGTAAACTCTTCTGTAACTACTTGTTGGCTGAAATTAAGGTGTTGTGGTTTGATTCCAGGAAGGCCGGAATGTGGTCAGAGACTGGGGGCATCTGATTCACTAACTGTCCAGGTTCAGGGGGATCACCTGGTGCTGTCACACTGCGGGCAGTTTTGGGGCACTTCGCAGCTTGAGTTGATAGGAAATCTGCTGGCACAGATATAGACTAGGGACAGAAGGTGAAGGTAAGGAGCGCTTAGGGGAAAATCTGTCTTGGATGCATACTTGAAACTTCAGGTCTGTGGCTCTGGCAGTTGTAGGGAGGAGAGGAGTCCCAAGACGAGGGAAAGGGGATCCACCCTTAGGGGTAGGCTAAGTAGGAGCAAAACTTGGGCTGTTGACTGACAGTACTTAGCTGCAGTACTTAGCTGAAGTCCGTTTGACACGTGAGAGGTGGATCCATCACAATTCCCCCGAAGCTTACGTGAACTTTTTAAGTTTACAAAAGAGGCAAAAGTTGTAGATATCTTAGCATTACCATTATTTACAATCTGCACTGATATACTCATTGTGTCTGTAAACAGCCGGAGAAGTCTCATGCCCTGCAGATGCCTAGTGCTGGGGTGGTAGGCAGATGCCTGCACACCCAGCCTTTTCCTTTTTTTTTTTTTTTTAGATTTATTTATTTATTTTGTAATGTGGTGTGTGTGTGTGTAGGTCTGAGGACAATTTTGAGAAGTTGGATTCTTCCTTCTATCATCCTGGGGATGGAACTCAGGTTGTCAGGGCTGGAGGCAAATGCCACCCTCCCTTTTTTTCTTATTGTGTAACTCTGGGTCATAGGGATTGACACTTAGGTCATCAGTGAGTGAGAGCACAGGGACTTTACGCAGTGAGTCATCTCATCAGCCCACCTAAGAAACTTGACTCAGCAGGAACCTAGGGGTTAGTGTCCTAGCTAGTATTTTTGTCAGCTTGACAAAAGCTAGAGTCATCTGAGAGGAACAAACCCCAATTGAGAAAACGGGCAGACTGTAGGCAAGCCTGTAGGGCATTTTCTTAGTGATTGATGGGGGAGAGCCCAGTCCATTTTCTTGGTGATTGATGGGGGAGAGCCCAGTCCATTGTGGGTGGAGCCATCCCTGGGTAGATGGTCCTGGATTCTATAAGCAAGCCGCAAGAAGCAGGCTGGTAAGCAGCACCCTCCATGGCCTCTACATGACCTCCTGCCTCCAGGCTCGTGTCTTAGCTTCCCTCAATGGACTGTGGTTCAGGATATGTAAGCCAATAAACCCTTTCCTCGCCAACTTGCTTTGGGGCAGGGTGTTTCATC